GGGAGGGAGAAGGGAGGGCAAAGGCCCAACCACATCAGCTGATGGTTAAGGTCCAGAGTGGGATGGGACAGTGGTCAGTGTGTGCCAAGACAGGGGGAGACTCATTTTCCAGAGTAGCCCACAGGAATGTGATCCAGCAGGACATAGGCAGAGATGGGGTTGAGTGATCCCTGTGAACCCACTGGGGATAAATATTTAGGATGGAGGAGAATTGTTTGGGTTAGTGGCTGATGCTCATCACAAGATGTGGGAGGGATAAACGTACTCGGGCTGCAGATGATGGGATCATGGAATCATGGAATGGTTTGGGTTGGAAGGGACCTTCAAGATCATCCAGTTCCATGGCAGGGACACCTTCCACCGTATGTAACACTGTAGGGATTTTATCAGAAGTGATGCTGCAAAACAAGGGAACTGCTTTAAAGAATGAAAAACCCAAGATATTTGGGAGAACCTCCAGGCTGTAGAAACCTGGGAATTTGCTCCTCAGTAGTCACACCACTTTTACCTTTTGCCACTGAATTTGTGGATCCTGTTTGTGTTTGGTTGCAGAGTGGTTGTGTTGGAGAGCAGGCCCACAGAGAACCCTCAGGCTCACAGCAACCTCTACATCCTGGCTGGACACGAAAACAGTTACTGAGCAACACCCACCCAACGCAAATAACGGAGGGAATTTGCCTCAGGAGGAACAAAGGAGCATTAGGAAACTGGAACTTGCCGTTTCTTTCCTTGACACCGAAGTCGTGCTGGTTTTTAGGGTGGGAATCAATCCATTTTTGCAGCTGGGAACAGCTGGTTCTGTCTCTTGCCACTGTGTGGTTGGTTATATGGAGTTTGCTTAATAAAAGCTGAGATAAAGAGCCCTTTACTCGTTAGTTGTAGGGAAACAGAGCCTTGAAACATGTTATGCAGTAAAGGTGCCATAAACTGTTAAATATTTTTCTTCCCTTGGATTTTTCCTGTTAGTCTGTAGATATAGATCTAGTGCTGGCTGTTGCCCTGTTTTATACTGAGTCTTATTCTTAATAAAACAAAGATTTGTGTAGGAAGTGGAAGTATCTGCAAAGCTTTTTGGTTTGAAATCTGCCATTGGGTATGGCTTTGTATAATAGACTATTTAATCCTTATTTATTAATCTGCTGCTAGGATGGGGTAATGTCTCTAACTTTTAGCAAAGGAAGGTTGCAGAGCAGCTTACTTTTTTTTTTTTTTTTTTTTTTTTTTTTTACAATTGTATAAAGATTTGATTATTCCTTTTCCTTGTAGGGATGTAGTGCATTACTGAGGGGTGTGTTACCGTGTCGGGTGATCTTGTAAAAAAAGAAAAAAATGCGGTTTTTGTACAACAAAGTATTTTGTACTGATTTTTCTGCCTGCAGAATTGCCATAAAAGGGATTTTTCTTACTTCCTAGACGTAGGGTGTGTGTACACAAAGTAGAATATTGATATCAGTCTTGTTGCTCCCGGGTGGGTGTGTACAATATCCATGTGTGTGTGTGTGTGTGTGCACGTGTGTGAAGTTGACTGGCAGTGTGTATTTTTTATATATATATATATTTATATATATATAAAAATGTACAAAATATATATGCTTTATTTTCATAAATTAGGGATAAGCCTTGTGAGGTGACATGGAAATTGTACCTGGTCATAATCCTTAATGAATGAAAGTATCATGTATCCGACTGCCCATGACGTGTAGTTTATTTATGCTATTCCAGAGGGGAGCCCATAGGGATAACTGAGGCTGTGCAGCATTCCAGCTGCTGCCAGACAGTGGTTTGGGAATGGTCATTTCCCCAGCTGGGTAGTATGAATAAACATGATTAAGAACCAATATTCTGTATCCAAGCTTTGATCACTTTTTCCCTCTTTTGTCACCGGCATTTTTTAACTTTCCCTTTTTCTTCCTCCACTGAAGAGTCACATCGGTTCCTTTTGTCTTCCTCATTAATTAATATTCTTGAGGTACCATTAAATATAGACTGACTACAGGAGAGCATCTGGTTTTACTACCTCACATTACCCTGCTGGCTTTGATGTGAACACAGTCCGTGGGCAGGTGCAGTAGCAGCTCATAAACATTTAAATTGAAGGTTGTGGGGGGTTTTTTTTAATGAAATGCTGCAGCAAACTGCTGCCTGTTCAGCTCCAGAGATCCGCTCCCTAAAAAGGACAGGCTGGAATTCACAGGTGGTTTTAACAGAGCAGTAAAGGTGTGTGACAGCTTGGAGTGGTTTGGTGCTGGATTGTCCGTGTTGGCATCAGGTTACGTGATCCATAATTTAACATTGAGGGAATTGTCTTGGCTCGGTGATGTTTTCTTGTTGCTAGAGACAGCTGGAGGTTTGTGTTTGGCAGGTCTGGAAGGGAAAACAGCCCTGCACACATTTAGCATTTTAGCCACTGTCATTCAAAACTAATTCTCATTGACTTGACATCAAGTCAAGCTTTTCAGTTCTGACACTGTGTCGAAGCTTCAGAAATAGTAAGTGTACAAATAAAACTTTAAAATCACACCACGGATTATGGAAAATGTGGTTTAAGGGTGGTCAGCTGGAATTGGTTCAGCACTATTAAAAGCAGGACATGTAATTCTTAATTCTGTTAAAGAAGTCGAGTTCTCTAGTACTGAAATTACTTCACAGGTAACAGTGACTGGTGATTAACCTCAAATGGTGCAACTGCTGGTCTACAGAGACTTTAAAACAAAAATTAAGACAAAGTGAAGCACCGGGTGTAGATATTGTAGAGCAAACATTTTTTAATTTACCTCATTCACTGCAGAAGGTAATTTTGGCTTCGTCTTTGAAAACACTTAAAGGAGATCTCTAAAAGACTAGAGAAACCTGTAAATAAAATCTGAATATTTATGGGGAATAACTGGAGTAAATAACTCTTAGGTCATGACACTGTCATGCAGAAATAACGAGCTGAAAGTATTTTTCTTTGAATGACACAAATGGCTTTGGTTTGCTGGATCATAATAAACTTAGGAAAGTCCTTGTTTAATCAAATCTTTTTTAGCTGTTGAAGCATTTCTAATGGCATGTTGTGAAATGCTTTATGCTGGTTTTACAGACAGTGGCATTTTTGGCATGATCTTCCTAGTGTAAAACCTCACTTGTATTCCTTATCACACAAGGGATTGGTGTGCTCCACAGCCAACCCGGCCAGTCTTGGTGACTCTGATTAGTATAATTTGCATTAGACTGTTTAATTTAGTCTGTTATTGTCTGTATCTTTGTTTTTGTGACATTTCAACCAGGGTTGGGAAAGCCTGGTGTGGGGGGGGATTGGGGTTTATGAAGCAAAAACTTGCCCAGCCCCTCGTTCCTCTTCCGACAGTTATCAAAGTTACTGGATGCACGAGGTCATGTGTCCAACTTGAAAGCCTTAAAACAGGCTCCCAGTGCTCTTGGAAGTACTCTTGGAAGTACAAACACTATGTGAGGAACAAGCAGCCTGTGGATTAATCTCTTTGGATTTCCTAACCGAATTCCTTGTAACTGAAAAATACACCTGGAATTGTGCTGCCATCTCTTTTAGAGAAGAAAGGTACAATGCATCAGTGAGCCACGGTGTCTCTGGATGAAAAGGACAAGACTGGGAGACTCTGAAATGTGCTTTTTTTTTATCTTGTTTAGTCGTTAGGTGTAACTGAGACTCTTAACTGCACTCGTTCAGTTTGTGTAACCAGGCTTTGTTCCACGGGAATTTCTGTTGCAGTTCAGTCTATGCCAAATAAACTGCTTTATTTGATACGGAGCGGTGGTGTGGTGGCTTGCTGGGAACAATACCTTGTCAGAGAGATCTGGGGAGGATCCAGCTGGTCTCCAGGTTTTGTGGCCGTTGCGGGAAGGGCCTGGCGCCGCTCTCCTCCGTCCTCCAGACTGCCGGGAGCCACCCGGCAGCTCCCACGTGCAGCAGGGCAGCAGGAGGTCTGGGAATAGCAGGGGAATGAGAAATAGGAATAGCAGGGGCAAATTCTTCCCAGCCCAGTCACCTGGGATCACCATGGATCCACTCGGGAGCTGTCTGGCTGGAAAAGCCAAGACTGGCTGCCTTGTGTACCTGTATCCCAGATCTTCAGGGATATGCTGAGGAGGGTTGTAAGTAATGGAATGAATGTGCCTTTGGACAACACAAGGAACTGCCAGTTACTGGTAAATAAATACACAACCACATTCCTCCTCTGCAGAAGATTGTTATCTCTGTGGGCAAATCTTGGCAGCTGGGAGGCCAGGAGACTACACATCCCTGATGGATGTGGCTTGGGAAGAAAAATAATTAGTGGATCTTTGTCCTGCACAGGGTTGGGAAGCACCTCAAGAAAGGACTGGGGAGGGAGGAGGCATAGGATGTGGCAGGGTGTCCACACAGATCTCCAGATCTAATGTTGGAAGTGGTTATCACCACAAAAGGCCACTTTCCTCAGGGGATGAGGGGAGGACTGAGGATACAGGGACCTGCAACAGGAAAGAGAATGGGAAGGTAAAAGATAGAAATGCTCTATAAAAGGGTCTGGTTGCTGGCAGGAATCCATCAGGTGAGAGGCACCCGAGATGCTGGAATGGTGCAGGAGGAAGATGTTCCAGGAAACCTCCAGGTTTTCCAGAGGTTTTCATCCTTTCAGGAGGGAGGTGCAGGTGCTGCTTGAGGCCGGCCAGACCTGTGGAAGGGTGTTCCCGCTTTCAACCCTGCAGGGAAATAAGAGTCAAAACCAGAAACCCTCTGGAAAGGCAGAGCGTGGCAAGGACAACACGATCACGGCAGGGGGGTTGGGGCTGGATGACCTTTAAGGTCCCTTCCAACCCGAACCATCCTGTGGTTCTGTGATTCCACGACCGTGGCGGGAGGTGTGAGGGGTCAGCGTGTGGCACCGGCAGAGGCCATGGGGATGTCCCCCCCACCCCTCTCCCTCCCGGGGACTGTCCCGGCCGTCCTGGTGTTCCCGGGGCGGTTCCCAAGGGCCGTCCCCGCCGGGGAGACACCTCCGGCCGCCGGGGAGACACCCCTGGCCCGCGGGCCCGCCCCGGCTCCGCCGCCTGAGCCGCCGTGAGGGAGCGCGGCGGGGCCGTCCCGCGCCATGGAGCGCTACGAGAAGCTGGGCAAGGTCGGGGAGGGCTCCTACGGCGTCGTCTTCAAGTGCCGCAACAAGGACACGGGGCAGATCGTGGCCATCAAGAAGTTCCTGGAGTCCGAGGAGGACCCGGTGATCAGGAAGATCGCCCTGAGGGAGATCCTCATGCTCAAGGTGGGGCGGCTGCGGGGGTCCGGAGCCCCGCTCCCGGCATGGGCTGTGCCCGCCGTGGGGAGACCCGGGGCAGGGAGCCGGGGAGCCCTGAGGGAGCTGCCGGGGACGGGGCGTGAGGGGACGGGGGCTGGGGGGAGCCGTGAGGGGATGGAGTGTGAGGGGGACAGAGCGTCATGAGGGGACAGGGTGTGAGGGGACAGTCAGTGAGGGCAGCCATGAGGGGACGGGGCATTATGAGGGGACATGCTGTGAGGGGACAGTCAGTGAGGGCAGCCGTGAGGGGACAGGGCATCATGAGGGGACAGGGTGTGAGGGCAGCAATGAGGGGACGGGAGTGGGGGGGAGCCGTGAGGCGACGAACTGTCATGATGGGACAAGGCTGTGAGGGCAGCCATGAAGGGACAGGGCATCGTGAGGGTACAAAGAGTGGGGTCAGCGCTGAGGGGACGCGGCCATCGTGAGGGGACGGGGCTCGGGGGACCTCTGAGGAGACAGAGCGTCCTGAGGAACAGGGCGTGAGGGCAGCAATGAGGGGACAGGGCTGGGAGGAGCCGTGAGGGGACAGGGCGTCACGAAGGGACAGGCTGTGAGGGCAACCCTGAAGAGAGGGGGCATGAGGGCATCTGTGAGGGTGATGGTGAGTCGTGAGGGGGGAAGCAAAGATTCGGGAGCGAGGGAGCACCATGAAGTGCCCAAGTCAGCTTATCTGGGAGAAAGCCGGTGCCAGGGAATGGCCAGCCCACTCGTCCAGGGATGGCGATGCCGGGTGATCCTCCCCAGCCCAGGCTGGGAGGGCCGGTCCAGAACTGTTGGAGCCGGTGTAAAACACATGGGCGAAAAGTGATCCTAAACAGCACGAGGAGGGGGACAGCCGTGGAATGTAGCTCTCCCAACTCTCCAGTTGATAAATCTGCCCCAGCTCCTCCTTAAAATGCTCTTTCTGAGCCCCTGATCTTGGGGGATCTGCAGTGTCGGAGCCTGGCGTGCAGGAAGATCCAGCTGTGGATTGAATGCCAGGGGCTGTGCAGGCTCACAGGTGGAATTGAGGGCAGAGCCGGCACCTGTGAGCCATGGCAGCACCTTGTCTTTGCTGATCCTTTCCTGACCTCTCTGTGAGAGCTCACCCTCGCACAGAAATGGGTCACTCCTTCACCCTCTACGTGTATTTTCCTGGTGAAAATAAAAGCACGGGAACATCTACAGTGGGTGACACCGCAGGTCTATCAAGCATGCAGAAATGAGGAGAGACCCAGGAGGAAGAGGGAGAGGATGGGGTAAGGTTTCCTTTCACACTCCCAGCTTCTGGGCAAGGATTCTGGAGCCAAAGGTTGTGCCCGTTGCTTCTTGCTTAGAGAGAGCTGGGAGTCTGTCCCATCTCTTTTTTGAACTGTTGTGTTCATTTGGTCTCCATAGTTTCCTGAGGCTTTAGGAATGTGTTGTGCGGAAAAAATATTTCCTTTTATTTGTTATAAACTTGCTGCCAGGTGATGGCACACAGTACCCTCAGCTGTGTGTTCAGAGAAGTGGGAAGAATTTTTCACTTTCCACTTTCTCCAGGGTGCTCATGATTTGTCCACCTGCCATCTGGGAAAGCCCATAATCTCAGACACACAGGATATTTGTTTTTCACTTAGATTTTGGGAAGAAGCAGCCTTTTTCTCCTATCCTAAGCAAACACAGGATGTGTGCTGTTTTGTTTCAATAAGCAATGCTGGAGATGCATTAACATTTAAATTGTATTTAAGATCTGAAAAGGAAAATAATCATTGCTGAAGACCCTTGTAATACAGCTGGGAACTGGATCATCCTTTGGGATCCAAAGCTTGCATCGCTGCAGCCAGGCATGGCAGGATCTGTGTTGGGGCACTGTTGATTTTAACAAGTGCAGACATGCTTGGCTGTCTTTTCAGCTTTTTCTCTGTAAATAGTAACAGTTTGTTTGTTTTTTGAGCTATTTACTGGCTTAGGCAACTCCTGTTTGTCAAAGATGCAGTGAGATTGTGTTTCATTGGTAAAAAATGTGGGGCCCGATAAATCATTCTTCTGCACCGTAAATGGCTTGTAGAGAAAGGAGGGTTTGTGGCCAGGAGCCAAGGGAGGGTGGGGGGAGTTTGCAGAGTCTTGAAACCATAGAATCCTGGAATGGTTTGGGTTGGTAGGGACCCTAAAAATCATAGAGTTCCACCCTCCTGCAGGGACACCTTCCCCTATCCCAGGTTGCTCCGAGCCCTGTCCAACCTGGCCTTGGACACTTCCAAGGATCCAGGGGCAGCCACCCCTTCTCTGGGCAACCTGTGCCAGGGCCTCACCATCCTCACAGCCAACAATTCCTTCCCAAAATCCCATTTAACCCTGCCCTCTGGCAGTGGGAAGCCATTCCCCCTTGTCCTGGGATACTAGGAAGAAATTCTTGGCTGTTAGGGTGGGGAGGCCCTGGCACAGGTTGCCCAGAGAAGCTGTGGCTGCTCCATCCCTGGAAGTGTCCAAGGCCAGGTTGGATGGGGCTCGGAGCAATCTGGGATAGTGGAAGGTGTCCCTGCCCATGGCAGGGGGCTGGAAGTGGATGACCTTTGGGGTCTCTTCCAACCCAAACCATTCTGGGATTCCATGAACATGTGAGCTGGATTGAGAGGAAGTGGAAGAAGCAGGAATAAAAATTCTCCTAGTTGACCCATCCAGACTGTGACAATAAACAGGGTGAAGCTGAGGCCATTTGCTCCAGGGGAGCTCTTGCTTTCTGCCAAATGTGTGTTTGCCTGCTGCAGGCTCTTGCCCCGTGTGATTTCCATGGAGAGCTGCTTTTCACTGTGGTGCCCTCAAAGGCTGGATCCTCACAGTGACTGGCACTGCCAGAACAGCCATGGGCACAGTGATGAATTCATTGTTTGAGGCACTTGATGAAGCCAAGCTGACTTACTGCCCGTGGCCAGTTCCTAAAACAAGTACACGCAGGCTGAGCTGCAGCCGAGCTGGTGCTTCACATCGTGCTGTGCTTGTATAAAGGGTTCAGCTTAAGGAATTGTGACCTGCAGGCAAAATCCCTGTCCCCCACACCTTTACCCCGTGCAGGAACTGAGCTGTCCATCCCCTGTGTGTTACAGCAACTCAAACACCCCAACCTGGTGAACCTGCTGGAGGTGTTCAGGAGGAAGCGGAAGCTGCACCTCGTGTTCGAGTACTGCGACCACACGGTTCTCCACGAGCTGGACAAGCACCCCCGGGGGTGAGTGGCCCATGTCCCCTTGGGAGCTTCGAGTACAGGAGTTGGAGTGTCCATGTCATTACTTCCCTGCGGATTTTCAGAGGAATTTCATTAATTCCAGGAGAGGTTTCTCAGCCCCGTGCCCAGCACTTGCTCTGTCACTGTGGTTTAGCACTGACGTGCCCAGGAATGGTGTGTGAGCCCGTGTGTGTCCCTGTGCAGAGCTGCTCTCCACGGAGACGGGAGCGCTGAGCCGAGTATTTGGGTGAGCTCTGGCCGGCTGGGAAGCAACAAACCTGCGGGCTTGGGAGCAGCTGGTGTGTCACTGCAGGGGTGTGCTGGGGGCCCCCAGCCCTCCTTCCACTGCCCCCCAGCTGTGCTGCACATCACTGAGCACCCAAATACAGAATCACAGACTCATGGAATTGTTTAGGTTGGAAAAGCCTCTAAAACCATCGAGTCCAACTAATCCAGCACTGCCAAGCCCACCACTAAACCATATGCCCAAGTGCCACATTTACATGGCTTTTGGACACTCGGGAGGACGTGTGAGTTGGCAGGAATTCCCAGGAGCTGTGCCTGCACCTCCCTGCAGAGCCCCAGTGAACTCCCTCCTCACGCAGGCACTTGCACCGAGTGTGAGCTCCACACGGGGTCTGTTCTTTCACACAGTGTAAATCACACTCCCACTAAACACATTGTCCCTAATTACCCACGGTGACCTGGTGCTGTGGAAATGCTAAGCAGGAGTTCATAAATCATTTTACAGACCTGGAGCTAAATGAGCTGCCTGCAGGAGACTGACTGGGGGTTGAGTAAACAAGAGCCTGTTACTGCCTTTCTCCTCGATGTGGAGCTCGAGGAGAATGGAGCATGGTGACAGCACATGGCTTTGTGAGCTGGTGAGCAGCTGTCACCCCAGTTTGAACCAGTTCAACTGGAATCTGAAGGAGAGGATGGATAACCCTCCTTGAAGAAAATACTTCACATTTGCTTTCCGTTCATCAAAACGACTCCAGCGTGGATGAACATGTAACACAGGCTGCATACTTTGCTTCCTGTCTTTGCAGATGGTCAAGTCTTCTGTGGTCAGGTTAAGGTGGGTGGGCACACGCTGTTTCCAGGCCATTTGACCAACTCCATCCCCTTGTCAGGCTGTCAGTGGAGCACTCCCATCATTCTGGGATGTTTCTGGAAGGAATCTCTAGCATTGCCACAGCAGTGTCAGCACAAGACCCTCAGCACTGACAGCACAAAGTGCTTTAGAGAAAAACCCAGGCTTGTATTGTTTTGGTTTAGTTTTTTTCTTTGTAATGAATTGGAAGCTTTTCAACATTGAACACGTGAAATAAAATGGTATTTGAGATTGAAAGTGCCAAGATTGTCACCTCTGCCTTTCCTGGGGTTGTTGAAGATCCTTACAGGCAGCCAAGGAAGTTTAAGAACTGTTGCCCAGTAACTGAAAGAGAGGAGAGTGGGCTGGGAAGTGTTTGCCAGCTTTGGGAGTGAAGAGGGGGGATCCAAACCAAAGCAGAGCTTTATACTCTTGCAGGAACATGCTTCCTTCCCTTATTTTGTCACCTCCCTGGACAATCAGTGCCATGACAGCGTTGCACAGCTGTATCTATACCATGGGTTCTCCAGCAGTTCCAACCCTGAGCAGTTATAGAGGCAGAAATGCCTGCTGACATTTTAGTATTGCCAGGAAATGTGGATGCTGGACACAACCATGGGACAGGATCTGACATTGCTGTGTGGTCACCAGACACTCTGTCACACTCTTAACTGCAATAAACCCTTGTGTCTTGTTGCACTGACTGGATTTGGAAGTGTTTTCTGATTTCCCTGATGATTTTGCTCAGAGATGCCTGTACAATGTCAGCACTCAAAGGCCTCCCCTTCCTTTTCCCTGTAACGCTGAAGTGATTTTTATTGTCCAAAATACAACTGTGTTTTTTCAAACAGGGTGCCAGAGTACCTGGTGAAGAGCATAACCTGGCAGACCCTCCAGGCCGTGAACTTCTGCCATAAACACAATGTGAGTGCCCTGAACAGCACTAACAATTGCTGGGACGTGGCTTTGGGCAACAGGGGGGTTCTGTTGGCACTCTCCTGGTTACAGAGCTTTCATGGAATGCAATCAGATGGAATTTCCTGATTTCAACAGGAAACACATCTGAAATATCAGTGTATACCCACAACAGCTGCATTTACTGTCACACAGGCCCCTTGGGTTGGCTGTCAAGGAATGATTTGCTCTAATGACCTCAGACAAGCTTCCAGGTGGAACAGGAATGTATCCCTGTGTATTCCTGTGCTGTACATCACAGCTGATGCCCAGGAAACTGCCTTCCCAGCTCCTCAGCTGAGAGCTGAGCAAACTGCTGCTGATTTATCAGAAAGTCCTTCTGCTGACAGTCACAGGCCTTGAATCATGGCACCAGTTAAAAGATTTCAAAACCTAGACACAGTAAACCCCTTTTACAACCCCTGCTCTGCTTTCTGGAGGGAGACACGAGTTGTGTGCGTTTTAGTGGGAACACTTTAAGAAGAAGGGAAGGAGAAGGAGCCCTTTGGAGAAGTTCTTTAAGCAAACTTAGCTGTAATTGTCTTTGTTTTTGTTCATCTGCCAATGTTTGAGATTTATGAGTGGGGCAGGAGATGGCCCTGGGATGGGTGTTTTGTCTTTGCTGGGAGAATTACGTCCAGTTGAGCCACAGGAACTTGGCCACAGCTCTCTCCTGCTTCCAAGATTTGTTGGTTTGCGTCTTTTTTCCGTTCCCCTCAAAGATTTAATGGAGTTTTAGAGCAGAGGGAACAATGAGATGCTGCAGCCTGACCTGCTGTAGATCACAGGTTTTATGCAGCTGCCCTTTTTGGAGCTCCATGACAGTGGTTTAATAAGCAGCATTTCAGTCCTCAGGAGGAGACACAATAATTTACCACCAGCTTAGGGAGGAAAGTCTGAGGTGTTCGTGCTGAGGTGATGGTGTGGGAGGGATGACATGAGCGAGACCCTGGTGAGTTGAGCAGAGCACAAGAAATGAAGGTCTCTGCTGGTTTGATCAGCAGAAATTCTTTGCCAAGCCCAAACTCAGTTGTTGTGAAGGTCAAGGTCACCTCCTAAGAATCACAGAATTGCCAATGTTGGAAGGGAGATCATCTTGTCCAGCCCTCACAATCAAGCTGGCTCAGCTAGAGCAGACTGCTCAGAAACTTTTCCAGTCAGGGGTTGAATATTTCCAAGGCTGGAGGCTTCCCAGACTCCTTGGACAACCTGTTTGGGTGTCAGGCCACCCTCTCAGTTAAAAAAGATAAATTGCTTAGATTTAAGTGGAGTTTCCTGTGTGCTCAGTTTGTGCTCATTGCCTGTCTGGTGCCACTGGCACCACCAAGGAGAGCCTGGATTGGTCTCCTTTACTTCTTCCCATCAGGTATTTATCCACAGAAGCTGAGGATCCCAGAGCTGGACACAGAGCTCTGGATGTGTCTCACCTGTGCTGAGCAGATCACTGAGCAGAGATCAGCACAGGTGAGACCGAGCTCTTGTTGATCTTTGCCAGCAGAATCATTTGCCAGGTGCTTCCCAGCTGGTTCTGGGAGCTGACTCTGTGTTGTCCAGGTGACACAGAGCTGTGCAGCTGAAGCTGGGAGCCTGCACAGAGTCTCACCCAAGGGTGGGCTGTGGGCAGGTAATTGTCCTGTCTGACAGAACGTGGGTTTAGCTGCTGCTCGGAAATCCTTCCATCTCCTTCAGCAGGAATGATTGCCTGGCACAATGTGCAGAGGGTGTGTGGATGAATTAAGAAGACCTTTATCTGAGGGCCAGGTTAAATACTTGCTTCTAACGTTGTCTTTTTCTGTTTGCAGTGCATCCACCGAGATGTAAAGCCAGAAAACATCCTGATAACAAAGCACTCTGTCATCAAACTCTGTGACTTCGGTTTTGCTCGAATACTGAGTGAGTGCTGCTACACACACGGATTGTTAACACGGGAAAGCTCCACTGAAGTGTAGGATCAGCCTTTCAAACACTCACTTGTCTTTGCTGGATGCATCTGCAAAGCATCCTGTATAAAAGGCTGTTGTGTTTTCCCAGGGAAGCTCTACTAAAGGCTGGGTAGAGATCCCAAACCTTAAAGGAAGGAGTCCAGACACTGTGGTGATGGAGATCTGTAAACAGCCTGAGCTCCCTGCTGGGGCAGCTGAGCTGCTGGGGGTGCTGGCACTGGCACATGGAAGTCAGCCTTGGGCATCTTGGAGCTGCCCAGCCATTGTTTATGCAATACTGGAGACACAGCTGGAGTTCCCTGGCAGCCAGACCCCCCTGGCTGCCTCTGCAAACAATGGCTTCACATTTTCCTTGTAAATAAACCCCCTAATCTGGTTTATTTTAGCTCCTGTTCTGACAAATCACGTGGGCTCTGGGAACTGCCCACTGGCTGGTGCAGGGCCCTGCTGTGAGCTCTGCACATTTTCATTTGGAGAAAAACACGGTCCTGATTTTTGCCAGATCCAAAGTGTTTCCAAAGTAGGGTCCTGTTGTGGCCAGTGACTCACCCCGTTCCTGCAGCCACTGCCTGCCCAGGAGGTGCCCCAACATGTGCAACAACTGATGACGGCTCGTCTGCATCTCCCTGATCCCACATTCCTGTTTGTTTCTCTCCTCCCTGACCCCAAACCCAGCCGGTCCCAGTGACTACTACACCGACTACGTGGCCACCCGCTGGTACCGCTCCCCGGAGCTGCTGGTGGGGGACACCCAGTACGGGCCCCCCGTGGACGTCTGGGCCATCGGCTGCGTCTTCGCCGAGCTGCTCTCGGGGGTCCCGCTGTGGCCTGGGAAGTCTGACGTGGACCAGCTGTACCTCATCCGGAGAACCCTGGGTGAGTGTCCCCCTGCACGGCCTTCCCGGTGCCCTGGGCAGGACTGGAGCTTTCCTCTGTCCTGGGAATCAGGAGTAGCCAAGAGGTGAATTTACCCCATGGATCTCTCCCTGTAGTAAGTGTTGGTGTATTTGAGGTGTTCCTGTCCTTAAAAGGGAGCTGGGTTTTCCTGGCTCCCAAAGTACAGGGCTGTGGAAGTAGGATCATTGCCTGCAGGCTGCCTGGAACCATCCCTCCACTCTCTTTAGTGGTGGCCTCTGGGAAGCTGAATCTGGTGCTGGGCAGATTAGGAAAGATGTGGGATGTGTTACATCCTCCTGGTCCCTTGGGGTGGCTCAGTGACTGCTGAGGTGTCCCTTGGGTGGGGACAGCACAGGAACACCTGCCTCTCCTGCTGTGCTTCCCACATCTTCACCTGTCTCCATACAGGGAAATGAGGTGCTTGTATCAGAAAGGAATGTTTTGCACAAAGGTTTGAAAGATCCAGGTATTTTTCAGGATTTGCTGTCAAGCAAAGAGGTCAGTGAATAGTTGGATTAAGTTCACCCCAGCTTTGGAGGTCTCATAAGCGTGGCCAGTGCCTGTGGATGTCTCTGTGCCTGGGAATGGGAGTGTGAAAATGTTCACACTTGTTCACAAAAATGTTCACAACTTGTCTGTTCCACATGTTTGTCTTTATTCATCAAGGAATTTTAGGAGCCACTCCAGATTTATTTGTTAAATAAAAGACCCACTATCCCCATAACACTTAAATTAATCCAGTCTCATTGATTCTCTTTGATCTGGGTGTGTAACATCTGATTTTTTGCCTGGCAACAAACAACCCCCCACTTTTAATTGAAATTTGTTGGAATGAACTGAGAGTTGTAATTTTTACTGAGCAGTTTATAAAACTAATGGCTTTAAACAGATAAGCTCCTTAGCTAGAAAAATAGTTCAACACCGATTGCTTCATCCTCCAGAATCCATTAAAGCCACTGTTAGGCAGTTATAATTTATTTTTAATGACAGGGTTTCAGCCAGAAGAGATTCCCATTGGATCCAGGTGCTGGACTGAGCAAAGCTCCTTGGTGGAAGCTGTGCCATTATGGGGGTTGGCATTTTACTGGCTCTTTGTTTTGGGTTTGATTTTAGCATTTTCCTTGCTCTGAGCTGCTCTAAGCTTCAAAAAAGCTGCCCTGGGGAAAAGCTGCAACGTGTTCCTGGTGGAGCTGCACTTCAGCTCTTTTCCATACAACACGCTCAGGAGTGTCCAAAGAGAATTTCACCAATATGAGTTAAATTTTCCTGAAGCTGGAACACTTGTGGCCCTGCCTTTCCCTCAGCACAGTCACTCAGGTGTGGGATCACTGATGGCCCAAATGGACATTAGTTGTCACAGAAGAACATTTCCTCAGCTCACTTGGTGATATTCCATCTCTCTGGATGTTCTCAGCCTTGTTAGAGGATATAACCTTGTACGAGAAAAACAGCAAATTAATCCAAATTTCTTTTTATTCTTGGTCGAAGGGGATCTCATTCCCAGGCACCAGCAAGTGTTCAGCACCAACCAGTTCTTCAGCGGGGTAAGAATTCCAGACCCGGAGAGCATGGTAAGAGCTGCCTCCAGATGCAATTCCCTGGAGCCTGGTGCTAACCAGTCTCTCTTCCACTCTAATCCACTCTGCAGTGCTAAGGAGACAGGGTGTTTGGACAGGGAAATGTTCCTGCTTCTTTTTACCCACTTGCTGCCTGCTTTGGAACAGAGCTGGAAAAGCCTCGCTCAGCTTGACCAGCCCTTTGCTGCGCAGCATTTTTTCCCAGTCCAAAAGCTTTGCCCTTTATTTTGCCAGTGTGCAAAATAAATATTACTTGGAGGTGGCTGAACCCGTCTCATGACATTTTAACTTCTACACTACGTAAAAACAGTAAAAAAATTATTGATCTCCACCCCTTCCCCCCATTCCTGGTGGCGCATCCTCAGTAGTGCCAGGCCTGTAAGCACACGGAGTGAGGGAGGCATTTTGTGAGGAACAGGACACGTTGCTATGGGAAGCTGGGTCTCTGTCCCCTGATAAATGAACAGGTTGCTCATATGAGTACGCTCACTGTATTTTTTTCCCTCCAGGAGCCATTGGAAGCGAAATTCCCCAATATTTCATACTCTGCTCTGTCTCTCATGAAGGTAAGAAAACTCCAGCCCTGCACTGGAGATGAGCAAGTGGGGTCTGTGTCTCTTGTCAGTAAATGGTGTGAGCTGGGGGCTGAGTTATCAGAGATTCATTGAAAAATAGAGCTGGTTTCCTGCCCCTATTCCTCGAGCCACAATTCCTACTACAGCTGTGCACTCCCCATCCCTGGAAGTGCTCTAAGCCAGATTGGATGGGGCTTGGAGCAACCTGGGATAGTGGAAGTTGTCCTTGCCCATGGCAGGGGGTTAGAATGAGATGGGCTTTAAGGTCCTTTCCAACCCAAATCATTCCATGATTCCTTGATTAATTGCTGCAATCGTTGGGTATCAGCTGTTCCTCAAGCTTCCTGCTGACTGAAAAACCACTGTTAAAAAATTATTAACACATGTACCTGTGGGAATACTCGTTGGCTGTGGTGAGGACCTGGAATTGTGCAGACGTGTTTCATGAGTGTTTTGTGTGATCCTTCATCTTTTCCAGGGATGCCTTCGGATGGACCCTGCGGAGAGGCAAACCTGTGAGCAGCTGCTGCAGCATCCCTACTTTGACAGCTTCAGGGAGGCGGTGGATCTGGGGAAAGAACGTGAAAAGACAGCTCGGAAACCAGCCAGGCTGACTCGGAAGCACATGCCAGGGGTAACTTTTCCACAGTATTTCATATTCTGTGCCTGAGGAGGGGCTGGTTCTTTTGTTGGCTCCCGGGACCTGGGCTGTGCTGGCAGTTTGGGGTGTTGGACTGGTCTCAGTTTTATCCTGAGGAGAAAACAAACCTCCTGGCTAAAGAGTAAATCCATACAAACTGGATACTGCAGTGCAGCTCCATGGGGCACTGGGGATAAGCAGCACAGCCCTGTGAACCATCAGAGTTATCCAGGAATGTGCATTCCTGACCAAGAGTAGCAGGAGAGCTGAACAAACTGGACACACTCATGTGGCTGGTTTAATTTGGGATCTTTTTGGTGCTTTTTAATCCCAAATTACGGAGATGGAAAAAATGCCCAGTTCTGTTTGTAACTGGTGATGGGACGTGATCCCATACTCAGTTCCACATGTCACACCACACACTGGGTGTTTCTGCAGCTGGAGTTGCCAAGCAAATTCCCTGCTGCTTCAGCCTTTCTGGACTCCATCCCAAGTCCCCAGATCCAGCCTCACAATGTGAGTCATTCCGCAATTTTTATGCCCAAGAGCCAAATTCCCCATAGCAGCTGTAAGGCTGAGCTGGTAGCAGACAGGGAAGCTGGAGGTGAGGGATGGAGAACTGCTGGATCACACTGAGTCACCTCTTCCATTTCTATGCCATAGGATATAAAGGGAATATTTTTCTTGCCCTGGATGACTGGAAGAAATCCCTTTAATGAGTTGATCTTGTTGCAGTCCACTACAGACTCTTAGTATGAGAAGTACAGGATTACAGTAGGAATAGTGACATTTTTCCATGTGAAAAAGGAAACGTGTGCTTTATTCTCATTCCAGACAAATACACTCTGTGTAACTTTTCCTTTAGTTCCAGCACCTGCCCCAGCTGACCAGCAGTAACGTTCTCCCAGCTTTGGACAGCAAGAAGCACTGCTGCAAAACAAGGAAATCCAACTACCACTTCCCAAACATCTGACCAGATTCAGACTTGATCATTCGAAGTTCAAGGATAAATTCAGGGTTTATAAAGGGAGGATACACAGTGGAAAACTAAATTACTAAATGCTATGACCTGTACAAAGTGAGTCCAGCCTGATGAGAGGCTGCCTGACTGCTCCAGGTAGTTCCCAGCCTGCTCCAGGGATACACCTGCCTTACTACTGCACTTACAGATCACAGAGTATTAAAACTACAGGTAGTGGCTTCACAGGCTCAACAGGCACCACTCCCAGGAGAACAGATCAACCAAAACCTCTTGTTTCTTTACTCTTTTCAGAGTTTCTCCTGAGTGTTTCATCCGTTGATTGAGGTTGCTCTTCTTTGCTGTTTCTGACAATAGTGAAGCCACTCGCTTGTAGTTACAGGAATTGTTTTGATCAAAACTAATCATGAACTTAATTTATAACAATGGCCAGACACAGGTAGGAATTCTACCTTAGTGTTTGTATTAAGAGTGACTCGGGTTTGTGGAATCTCAGGATGTAATATTGGGTTGATTTTGAATAAAAGAAATGTAGCTTGTTTTTCCAATTTACTAGATTTATTTTTTTTACTTGAAACCAAGAGCAAAAATGTTTTGTTTTCCCAGTACATTCTGTGTTCCACAACAGTCAAAGCCATTTCAGTGGGACAGATCCCATGTTCTCAGATGGTACCTGTCGGCCTTCTGTTTTCTTACACAGGGAGATCCATGTCTGAGACAGCACTATGGATCTCCTTTCTTGGAGTTGCTGCCTCCTGCCCTTCCCTACCACCAAAGATAGGAATCTGGCTAAAAATGCTGTGTTCTCCCTGAGGATGTGGTCTCCCACCTGTGCTGGCACAGCTGAGGCACTTCCATTCCTAGGGGCAGTTTTGGGCCCCTCACAAGGACATTGAAGGGCTGGAGCGTGTCCAGGGGAAGGGAACGATGCTGAGGAAGGGTCTGGAGCAGCAGGAGCTGCTGAGGGAGCTGGGGGTGCTCAGCCTGGAGAAAAGGAGGCTCAGGGGGGACCTTCTGGCTCTGCAACCCCCTGACAGGAGGGGGGAGCCAGGGGAGTGTTGGGCTCTGCTCCCAGGGAACAAGGGGCAGGATGAGAGGGAATGGCCTCAAGTTGCACCAGGGGAGGTTCAGGTTGGATATTATAGAAAATTTCTTCACGGAAAGGGTTTTCCAGCCCTGGCACAGCTGCCCAGGGCAGTGCTGGAGTCCCCATTCCTGGAGGGATTTAAAAGCCCTGTGGATGTGGCACTTGGGGATGTGGGTCAGTGGTGGCCTTGGCAGTGCTGGGGGAATGGTTGGTCTCAATGGTCTTGGAGGCTTTTCCAACCTTAAGGATGCTGTGATTCTCCTGTTTATCAGCAGTGATGAGGATGCAGCTACAGAGCTGCACAGAACTCATTCAGTCCATGTCAGCACACGGCAAAAACGGGCACAAGGGCGTATCCAAGAGCCACTGCTCTGCCACAGACAGCCGTGTTCTGTTCAGTGTTCCTGAGGAGGTGACCCTGCCTGCCTGTAGACGACTCCACTGAAACCACATAACAGAAGTCAAAGCATGAAGAACACAAAAAAAGGCCCATTTATTAAATCAGCTCCCACCGACTGGGCGGGATTCTCTGAGAGTGAACAGCCCTTGTTCCCACAGCACCAACACCCGGCACCGACCGCGCCCGGCGCTGCGGCTTCACTCCCCACTGTCACTGTCACTTTATTTCTGTGCAATGAAATAGCTGAACACTTCTCACTGAGGTATTAACAGCTCCCTATGAACACAGGAAACGTGACTCTGTACAGAAGCCTGCCTTCTCTGTTGCTATCCACCATTTAGTTTAAGCTTAACAAAACTTCAGTGCATAATTTCTGAAAAGGTCACATACAGCTTTTTGAGGCTGCACTGGGAGAGCTGGGCTTATTTTCACACCTGGAAATACAGCAGCATCTACAAGTTAATTTATGCAATATATGATAAATACTAGGAAGTCACATCTCAGTTATGTGCTGTCGTGTTTATTCCAAGTCCAGCTCCAGCTCCAGCTTTGGCAGCGCCTGCTGAAGGGCGTGAAAGGTGGTTTCTTTCTCTCTGATTCCAGGAAGGTCACTCAGATACAAATACTCAAGGTTCCTGTAAATATTTAAAAAGAAAATCAGCAACTACTAATTAACTGCTGACAAAGAAATTAGAGAAAAGATCATTCTACTGTAGTTATTTTAAATGGTGACTGGTTATAACAGAAGCTTTTTATGAAGTGGGTGCTTGAGGTTTGTAGCTGCAGAGGTGCAGTCTCCAAGTGCATCCCATGCCCAAGGACTCAGGTCTGCCCTGAGAGGATGCTGTGACAGGGAGCAGCCCCACACATCTGGAACAGCCAGACTCCAGCTCCTCCACCCAACACAATCCCCAAACAGCCTGGGACAAGGGTGCTACGGAAGCGTTCAGGGGCTCACGTACGTCAGCTTGTGAAGGGCAAGGATGCCTTTGTCTGTGACATTCCCACAGGAGATGATCTTCAGCTGGAGGAGACTCTTCTGCAGGTTGTTTGTCTCGCTGAGCCTCTGCAGACACTCGTCCTGTATGTACATGCACTTCTCCAGCTTGATATCCGTGACGTGCTCCAGACCATCTGGAAAGATAAAAACAAGGATTTGCTTCAGAGTGCCAGGACCATCCTGTGCTGGTTGTTAAGTTCTGCCTCCAAACCCACCCAGCAACAAGTTCCTGTATACGTGGGGCCATAACACACAATGAATCTCCAAAGTCCCTTTGTGGTACTTCAAATAAATGAAAACCCTTTTGGTAAGATTTGAAGAGCTTTGGCATGGGCACGTCACAAAAAACCTACAAGTTTGGGTGATAAACAATGACTGACACAGAAATGTGCTAATGCAGGAAATTCAAGGTCCCCTGCTATGAAAAAATAATAATAACAGTAACTGTTGCCTATTTTGGTTTCTGCTGTTTAAAGGAGACCTGAAACACCTTTTTAATCTTTTGTAAGAAACCAAGTGTTTGCTTTTTGCCTTTGAAGACGTCATAAATACCTGGAGAACAAGCAGAATTATGACTTCAGAGGCACCAAAATCATGGCTTGGTGTAGAAGAAAAAGAATATTTATAGTGCTTTTTGCTTCCAACTCATCAAAATTCATGGCACTTCCTTAGTGCTACAGACATTTCAGGCAAGGGCTGATGAAGTTCCCAATCACACACCTCCAGCAAAACCTTAGGAACTCATAAAGCCATTTTAAGGGAAAAAAAACCCACGGGAGATTTCTCAGTATCTTGCTAAGGAATGAGACAATGACACAGTTATCGATACTTTGACGCAACTGAAATCAAGACCATTAAGAACAATCTCACGTTACCCAGATAGTCAAATCCTCTGTACATGATGCAGGAGTCGGTGGCATTAATTGCTTCTATCTTGTACTTGCCCAGGGGCCCCGTGGGGAGCCCGTTGTAGTCCTGCTGCCACTTTGGGGAGCCCTGGAACCGCACCAAGGCCCCGCAGCGCAGGAGCCACTCCGAGGCCGCCCGGTCGGGGCCCACGGCTTGGATCCGCTCATAGTCCACCCTGCCACGACACAAAGAGCATCCACAGGGTGGAAAAGTTATTCCCTTGGCAATTGAAAAGCTCCACGGCAAATACCTGCTTATGTGTGTGGTAAGATATCGGAAAACTAAGGATGTGATTTACTGCGTGTGGTTTACGTGTCATCGTTTGGATTGTGAGGTTCTTAGTCTGGCAGGAGTTTTTTTTAACTTGTTTTAAATGGCAGATGCTTTTGGTAAAAAAAAGAATGCAAATGCAACTGGACTTAACCTTCCTGATTGTTTCTTTCCATGTCTGTAGGGAGAGAGAAAAAAACCTGCCTTTTTCTTCCCAGAGGCTTTACAACTGCTAATTTCTCTCTCAAACATTGATTATACAGAAACATCTTGAAACCTGTCACAAGTATGTCATTCCTAAATCCTTTTCATAGAATCATGGAGTTGTTAAGGCTGGGAAAGGCCTTTAAGATCATTAAGTCCAACCACCAACCCAGCACCAATAAACCATGTCCTCAAGTGCCACTTCCACACATTTCTTTAAAACTTCCACGGATGGTGACTCCACCACTGCCTTGAGCAGCCTGTTTTTTCTCAACAGTTACAGTATTTCATAAAAACCACACTTCAGCAATGGTTAAACTTCTTGGGTCCATTCTGGAAAAGGATGCATTTCTTAGTCTGGCGAGGAATGATGAAGGCAGAGACCTGGAAGAGGCTCCCATCTGGTTTAGTTTCAGTAATCAGCTACACCACACAACCCTTCCCACACAGCCAGAAGACACAGGGCAAAACTATTAGCTCCTGGCAAAAGTTATGGGCAGAGAAAGCTTCACAGAGAAGGGTTTTCTCTTTTAAAAGTATATCTGAAACCCCCCTGTGGCTGAATCACTTTGTAAGTGATGGGTTGGTTTGATGCTGTTCTGAGTAAGTAAAGGGGCTTGGTTGTGCTACAGGTTTAAATGAGTTTTGGGGTCAAAGAAGAGCAGGACTTAGGGACAGAATCCATGTGGCCACTCCATGGAGGGGGCTGAACACCGACCTTCCTCTGGAGGGTCACAGCTTTGGGATGGGAAGCAGGTACGGAACGCCCCCTGCCAAGCACCGACACGCAATCTGGAGGGAAAGAAGAGCATTAGGTTCTCTGCAGCCCAGGGGTTTGATTCTTCTCTTCCACAAACCGCGCTGTGGACCCGCGGGACCTGATAATTGATTATTGCCCAGCGACTCACTCTTACTTGTTGAACACGGCGTTCAGCCATCCCCAGAACGCTCTGCAGCTGCCCGGCGGCGACGGCGGCTTCTTCACGAGTCTCCCCAACACCATCATCACCTCCTTGGAGAAGAGAGAGTGAAAAGGGAGATATTATTTGGAGCGTCCGCAGCAGCAGCACGAGAGGGGGCCGCGCCCCCCTCCAGGCCTGACCGGGGCTGTCCTCCCGGCGGGACCCGCGGCTGCAGGCGGGGGTCTGTCACCGCCCCCGGGCTGCCCCGAGGGCCGAACCTTGGCCGGCTCTGCCCTGCCCGGCCCGGCGGAGCGGCTGCGGAGGCGGAGGAGGAGCAGGAGGAGGAGGAGGAGGAGGAGGACGCGGGCTCGGCGGTCGCGGCCGGGCGCTCTCTCCGCCCCCAAGATGGCGGCGGCGCTGAGGGGCCGCGCGGGCCCGGGCGGGGCCCCGGCGCTGTGGCGGGTCCAGAGCCGGGGGAGGAGGTGAGACCGGGGGGAGCGGGACGAGCCCGCCCCGGACCGCGTCCTGCCCCTTCCTTTATCCATTTCCCTTATCCCTTGCCTTTTCCCTTTCCGCTTCCCCTCTCCTCTATATCGCCTTCCCCTATCTCCTATATATATATATATATATCCCTTCTCCCCTTCCTCTATATCCTCTATCCCCTATATCCTTTCTCCCCTCACCCTATTCCCTATATCCCCTATCCCCTTTCCCTATTCCTATCCCCCTCTCTATCCTCTTCCCCTTCTATCCCCTCTCCCATTCCCTTACTCCCT